AGAAAGATCCCTGAGTGCCAGAAGCTTCTTCCCAAGGCACCCGGCGGCGAGGAGCCCCTTCCTGAAGGTACAAGAATCCGGATAATGTTACACAAAGCTTGCGCTAAAAATCCTCAGGTCTCTTCTGGCTACTGCTGACCGGTGAGATCCCCTCCGAGCAGCAGGTTCGCGACCTGTCTGCCGAGTGGGCTGCTCGCTCCGACCTTCCCAAGTTCATCGAGGAGCTTATCGACCGCTGCCCCAGCACTCTCCACCCCATGGCTCAGTTCTCCCTGGCCGTTACCGCTCTGGAGCACGAGTCTGCCTTTGCCAAGGCCTACGCCAAGGGTCTCAACAAGAAGGACTACTGGAACTACACTTTCGAAGACTCCATGGATCTCATTGCCAAGCTCCCCACCATTGCGTCCAAGATCTACCGCAATGTCTTCAAGGACGGCAAGGTCGCTGCTATCCAGAAGGACAAGGACTACTCCTTCAACTTGGCTAACCAGCTCGGCTTCGGTGACAACAAGGACTTTGTTGAGCTTATGCGCCTGTACCTGACCATCCACTCCGATCACGAGGGTGGAAACGTCAGCGCCCACACTACCCACCTCGTTGGCAGTGCTCTGAGCTCGCCCATGCTCTCTCTTGCTGCTGGTCTCAATGGATTGGCTGGTCCTCTCCACGGATTGTAAGCGGCCCCGGGTGTGAACTCGATCTCCGAGAAGAAATATCGTTTTTGCTAATAATTATGTTCTTTCTCCAACAGGGCCAACCAGGAAGTGCTCAACTGGCTCACTAAGATGAAGAAGAGCATTGGCAACGACCTCAGCGACCAGGCCATCAAGGATTACCTTTGGTCCACCCTGAACGCCGGCCAGGTTGTTCCTGGCTATGGCCACGCCGTCCTTCGTAAGACCGATCCTCGCTACGTCTCTCAGCGCGAGTTTGCTCTCCGCAAGCTTCCCGATGACCCCATGTTCAAGCTGGTCAGCCAGGTCTACAAGATTGCTCCTGGTGTCCTGACCGAGCATGGCAAGACCAAGAACCCCTACCCCAACGTTGATGCCGTAAGTTCCTCCCTTCTCAAGATTGTTTCAATAATGCGGGCGACCACGGTAGACTGATCCATTTTTAGCACTCTGGTGTTCTTCTGCAGTACTACGGCCTGACCGAGGCCAACTACTACACTGTCCTGTTCGGTGTCTCCCGTGCCCTCGGTGTCCTGCCCCAGCTGATCATCGACCGTGCTCTCGGTGCACCCATTGAGCGCCCCAAGAGTTTCAGCACTGAGGCCTACGCCAAGCTCGTTGGTGCTAAGCTGTAAATTCCCTCTTGAGATGACATGAAAAAAGCGGGCGGGGATTCATCTTCTTCGATTTATGATTAAGTAGAGCAATTTGTATTATTTTTCCCATCTTTGGTTGCACTAGACTGGACGTGCCGAGTATCGCGGGCTTTCTTTGATTATTGTATGATAGGATTTAGGTTCGAGCGGAAAGCGATTGCAATTCACGTCGATTCGAATCTATCTAGGAAGTACTTATAAAGATCCGCCTTTTCTTATTTTAAAAAAAAAAGCAAGAAATTTTTTTTCTTTGAGGAACCGAGTGAAATATCCGATATATCGAGATATCGAGGTGAACATAAGTATGCCAGTTGCCGATCAAAGGGACCTAATAATCACGGGCAAATGATAAGGTACCTTACTGGACGACGAAGATTTGACCTCTCAACCATAGCCTACTCCGTACATCGGTACATGAGTGTTGATGATTGATGTTGGGAGCGCCCGGTTTGCTCCGTGGCTCCAGAATGCCCAACGGCCACTCAAATCCGATACGTCCTCGGGCCAAATCACACCGCCGGCCCGCAATGGGTCTAGTGCACCAAATGGCCCGATAGTAGCTTGATATGGCTTAGTGTTTCCCCAATCCGCCGAAAATAGGCAGGAAATAGGAATGGCCATTTATCGTTGTTGTGGTAGCAGATCCACCTTGTGTGCCGTTCCTGTGGTTTTTGAGGGGGGGAAAGAAGGGGGGGGGAGGAATCAGGCCTGAGGCCAACAAAGTGACTACTAGTCCGTCACGTACTACGAAGTACAGTGTAGGACTCATACTCAGAGCAACAGGCTGACCTTGTTCCCCCTTCCTCTACTGCTTTATAACTTCCCTCCCCCCCCCTTCTTCTACCATTCTTCTGTTGTCTTGTCAATTAAAGTTGTTCTGCCCACTGGCTCAAATTCCGATTCACTCCCACCCCCATCTCCATCTCCATCATCAACCTTATCCGACGGAGCTTCCTTATTCCGCTCGACTTTGACAGCGCGTTTCGCTCGCGAACAGTTCTTATTTTCTCGTGATCCCTTAGGCGACGAAGCCCCCTACATCCCTTGGTCAGGGCCCCTTTCAGTGCTACCCAAGGTCAGAGATGTCAACCGCTACTGCTGAGAAGGCCTCTGCCGGCCGTACTCTCGAGAAGAAGCCTGTCAAGTTCAGCAATCTGCTACGTATGTCTCTTCCCCGTTATGGATCATACGCAACACCAGCAAGTCTTGTAGTCAAATGATCAGATTCTAATTTTTGCTGGAAAAATAGTCGGTGCAGGCTTGAACATGTTCGAGTAAGTTTCTCCCATTACCTTCTCTCCGTTTGATCCGAAATTGTGAGTTGAGGTCTAATGGGCAACGCAGGGTCACCACTTTGGGACAGGTATATTTCATTGTCTTTCAGAGCTTGATGTCTTTCGCTTACAATTTTCCAGCCACTGGAAGTGATCAAGACGACCATGGCTGCCAACCGAGGCGACAGCTTCGCCGGCGCTATGGCGCGGATATGGGGTCGTGGCGGGATCCTCGGTTGTGAGTGACCCTTTTACCCGCGTTCCGATGGTGTGGGGTGCAACAACTGATGCGGGATGATCCCACAGATTATCAAGGTCTCATTCCGTGGGCCTGGATTGAGGCCTCCACCAAAGGCGCTGTCCTCCTGTTCGTCGCGTCCGAGGCGGAATTTCGTGCCAGGGTGCTTGGTGCCCCCGACTTCCTGGCAGGTATTGCTGGAGGTATGACGGGTGGTGTTGCGCAAGCATATGCGACCATGGGTTTCTGTACCTGCATGAAGACGGTTGAGATCACCCAGCACAAGATGGCTGCTCAGGGTGTTAAGCCCCCGAGTACATTTGCTACCTTCATGGATATCTACCGTAAGGAAGGTATTCGTGGTATCAACCGCGGTGTGAACGCGGTGGCTATTCGCCAAACCACGAACTGGGGTTCTCGCTTTGGTCTCTCCCGTCTGGCGGAGACCGCTATCCGTAAGGTGACCAACAAGGACGAGAGTCAAAAACTGAGCGCCATCGAAAAGGTCCTTGCCTCTGGCCTGGGAGGTGGTCTCTCCGCATGGAACCAGCCCATTGAAGTCATCCGGGTCGAGATGCAAAGCAAGACTGAAGACCCCAACCGACCCAAGAACCTGACTGTTGGGAAGACCTTCAAGTACATTTACGAGACGAACGGTATCAAGGGTCTTTACCGCGGTGTTACTCCTCGTATTGGTCTTGGAATCTGGCAGACCGTCTGCATGGTTGCTCTTGGTGATATGTAAGTTGACTTGGGCGTTTCTTTGTCCCTTCCCTTCTGTTGCTCTTTTTCCTTTCTTGGAATTTCACTTCCTGGGCTTTCCGTTACGATCTTCATGTGACGCCGAGGAGCGATACCGGGCTAACTTGTGGGTCTCCGTTGCACCGAAACAGGGCCAAGGAAGCAGTCGAAAAACTGACAGGCGAGAAAGTCACCGCTAAGCACTAGAGAAGGTTTGAAACACCCTTCTACTATGCAGTATGCGCGGTCTGAATCAGATGGCGGAAGAGATATAGTCCGATCACATATTTTATTGGACTCTGTACGGACTTGATCGGAGGAGCTAGCAGGCATAGCTGTTTAGCCTCCGTGCGCACCCCGTTCACCGCTCGTTCTGGAGCTAGGTTCAAGTCATTCATGATGAGTGATGTAAATAGTAACAGTTTGGACTCAGAATGGTCCTCCTTAGACTTATCAAGAAATCTATAATATTGCCCCCGATCTGCTACCATGGTCGTAAGCCTTGAGTCAGACTATAGATACCTTCGGGCTTATTTCTCCTGCTTTCCTGTTCTCGGATGAATTCTAGTTTAGAAGCTGTCTGCTGTTAAAGAAATAGATAGCGAGGCTTTATGAACAGCAAAAGATATATCAGTTCTGGCAGCTCTGCAGTTGTTGCAATCATTAAACTTTCAAATGGAGATACCTTCATATAATGGCATCTTTCAACGGTCATGACATTCAGCTTAGAACATGAATATAACACATGCAAATGAAGTTCTACGAGTTTATTTGAACTGGATGGAGACACACACTGTAACTTGACTGACAGATAACTTAGTGAACAGTATCCTGCTTACTAACCCTAGTAGCATATGCAAACCTACGGTGTCTTCATTTACCAGCAAGTTGTCCTGGACTTCTTTTAGGATATACTTCGGGCGAAAGCCAAGGAGACAGATGAACTCATCCTGAAGGACCATTTCCTGATTCGGCAACAAGTCTTTTTAAAACCTATAGCTCCGACAACATACGATGGGACGATGTCTGTATAGCATCATAACGAGAGCGAGGTTCTCAGAATGAAATGACGCTCATCTATCTGTAGGGGTTGATGTATAACCGAATCGCCAGACTTGGTGCCTGCAGCAAAGCCATGCTTTGTCAATCACATTGCCGCTGATCGAAAACGTGTTTAGAGATTTGAAAGGATACTGTGCCTTTTCTCCAGCCTCAAAACAGGGTTCAGAGGAGGATTATCAGGTTTAAGACGGCCTATGATACTCGGAAGGCACTGGATGGCATAAGGTACAATTGTATTACAGTCACACAACTACAGCCACATCACAAAGGAGAATATCTGCGAAGATTGATCTAGACACATAAGAACAGGAGAGGACGCTTTTTCCAAGTCAGTCTAACATGTAATGTATACACTTTAAACGGTCAGACCGAGGTCCTCGCCGTAAGGAAGCTGGAAGAGGTCTCCAACAGCGGCAACGGAAGCCTTGCCAGAGAGGAAAGATTTGGCGGCCTAGAGAAGGAAGATGAGTTAGCCAGGCGACCTTGTCCCAAAGTATGCCGAGAGTAGGGGAGGAGAAAAGACTTACATCCTTGACCTGCGCCTCAGTGACGCTGTCGAAGCCCTGGGCAACCTCGCCAATCTGGTAGGGCTTGCTGCCGTTGATCAGGGCAGCACCAGTGGCCTCAAGGCCGGTCTCGAGGGTTTGAGCCGACTCGAGAGCACGGAACTTGGCCAAAGCAACAGCCTTCTTAATTTCGTCACCGGCAATCTCACCGGCAGCCGTCTTCTTGAGAACGTCGACCACGTTCTTGCTGGCGGCAGCAACCTGGTCGGCCTTTCCAGAGACTGTAATGGTGAAGAGACCGGCGTCGGAGTAGGCGTTGTTCTTGGTCGCGACACGGACATGAGAGAAACCCTGGGTGGCCTTGGCAAGGAGAGAGAAGCCAGGAGTCCACTTGATGGAAGACTCACCGCCGAGGAGGGCAGCAAGAACGGAAGCTTCAGGCTTGTAGCCAGATGTGCCAAAGGCACTAGAGCCAGGGAAGGCAATCACAACGGCGTTGCCGGCCTTGGAAGCGATACGCTGTTCGCCACCGTAGTACTTGGAGGCAGTGTTGGGCTGCACTTTGAACTGGCTAGAACTGCCAGCGCTGGGGAGCTCCTTGAAGAACTCACCAACCCACCTGGACACCTCAGCGGAGGTGGAGCCGCTGCCAACGATGGCGATGTTAGATTTAGCATAGGCGTCCTTGGCAAACTCGGCGATGGCCTCGGCGGAGAGGTACTTTTCGAAAGGACCAGTGGCGGAGGGAGTAATGTTCTCACCCAGACCGCGGTGGAAGGCAAGAGCGTGGGCAGCGTCAGAGGCAACGCTCTCGGCATCGGCGGCAAGGGCTTGCTGTCTGTACTTGATGAGGTTGTAGACGAGCTCATTCAACTCGTGGGCTGAGGTTTCGAGTCAGCCAATATCCCATTGGAAGTAGTGACTGACTACAGCCGTCAACGTACCTGCAAACTTTGTCTGGGAAGCGACCTCCGCCAAAAGCTCGGCAAAGTAAGGGAGATCTTTTGAGAGGAACTTGGCCTTGAGAACGACGTTCTCACGCGAATGTGTCGAGGAAACTTCACCGCCCAGCAGTTCAACCTCCCGAGTGATCCGCAACGCCGACCGTTTGAGTGTAGACTGTCAATTGAAAGCAGAAACCGTTAGAGATCATCCTAATTTACATTGATTGGTAGCAAGGACTGCAAACGAGCCATAAAAACCAACCTTGAAGGCGAAGAATTCGAGAGCGTCGGAGAAGCCAGGGAAGGGCTGGTAACGGGAACCGGCCTTTGCCACCAACGCCAGGGTGCCGGTTGGGCCTGCAACCTCTCTGTTGGCGACCTTCACACCGGCAGACTCAGAGACATCGTACTGAAGGCCGGGAGTCGCAGCAGAGGCCATGCTGCGACGACTGCTGGCGCCGGCAGCAGAGAGCGCACGGGGCGCATTTCGGCTGAGGGTAGACCGCGACAGCATTATCGCATGTGCGGAATATCGAACGAGAAGGAGGAGACGTAGGAAGCCGGAAGGCTTGACAGCAATTGGTGAGGTCGAGAGGGGGAAGAGCACAAGAAGGCTGGCTGTCTGTTGATGGACGGGTTGGGAACGATGTCTGAAAAGCTTCAAGATGCCGGCGTCTTGATTACTCGTTTGCTGATTGGCCCAAATGACGAGTGCGGGCGGAACCGGCTTTTCCTCGCTCTCCGTGTCAGGTGAGATCAGGTGATATTAATACACGTGATTGTTTAAAGGCATGCGATAAGAGAAAAGTAACAGAACGGTGTATATGATTCGAAAAAGATCCATGAGCTCTTTAAGCAAGTTCTTATTTCAGATCTGAACGTATATCACTTCTTATATTTGTCTTATGCTATTAATTCGGTGATGTTGGTTTATTCCTCCTGAAAACTCGAAAGTTGCCAGCTTCACTGGGAAGCTTGAAAAATGACCTCCCAAGTATGCGACAGACGACTGAGCTCGACCACTGAATCCATTGCGCGTCAGCTGCTAATTTGGCTATGGTATAGTATGCTGCGGAGCTATGTCAGCTTCTGGTAGAAGACAACTTTGGGGAGCTATTCGGGGTACGTTTCCGCCCCAGGACATATTGGCTTGAGAAATATGACTGGAGTACTGGGGGTTGGATAAACGATTAAATGACCTGATGTGCTGATCTCTTTCTGTCTGAAAATCAGCGCATATTCGCGACACTTTCGCGCTATGATCGCCTCAACCTGCCTCGCCTCAAGGCTTATTCCGAACTTCCAAATCGTCAGCTTCTCCCCGCACTCGCTGCTATGATTCAGCAGCATCTTGTCTACCATTACACCTCCTACGATGACGGCGTGACGTATTATGAAGTCAATATGCAGTCTGCATACTATCTCGTTCGGTCTGGAAAGATTCTGGAGTTTGTGGAGGAACGACTGGGCAAGTATGCGGCGACCGTCATGTCTGCCATCATGTATCTCGGACATGCCCAAGTGAGCTACCTGGAGACTTTGCCAGAATTGACATCAGGGGCAGACAAGGCCAATGGCGTTCCTGAAGAGCATGCCGAATATGAGGAAGAGGAGGAACAATCGAATGGACTCAACGGAGAACACACCAACGAACAACCTGAGCTTCTTCACCCGACGTTGAAAGACCTAGCGGCCCATGGTTATATCATCCGTGTTAGAGAGGCACAATTTCAGAGCCATGCAGACAATATCCTCGATGCAGAGCGAGTCATAAGATCTAAACCAGAGATCAAGGCATTGAAGGGCAAGAGGCTAGAGGAGGCAGTCATAGAAGGAACGCTTGAATTGCTCAAGGAGAGAACCGACGGGGACCTGACCCGCGGTCTGGTAGTCCAAGGGGTTCCCAGAGGCGCCAAGCGCAAACACAGTTCACGGAGGGCTGACAAGCCCAACAAAAAATCCCGAGTCGATTTTGCCAGCGTCGATGAAAATGATGAGCAGGATGAGGAAGAGGAGGACGAATGGTCGGATGAAGAAATGGGCTACGATACAACTCCAATGGAGGTGAGTGCTTCAAATGACATGGCATAGTATCTGGACGGGAGAGCTAACGAGGCTGTGACACTTAGGCTGGGTTGGTTGTCCGAGTCAACTATAACAAGCTCGATGTCGCACTACGAAATCGCCGCTTCATAGAATTAGCTGAGCAGGATGTGTCGTCAGCAACAGCTGAAGTATATGAATGCCTACTTCGACGCATTGAGTACCAGACCCATCAGTGCCGAGACACTGTCGAGATACCTCGCGAGGGGGAAGAGGGAGAGCAGTACTCTGTGCCGATAGCACTCAGTGCAGTAGCTGAGGACGTCGACCCACGGCTTGACCTTTCTGGTTCTACGGGTCCGATGGATACCTCGCAGCCAGATGGCAGACGTGGGAAACGGTCCTTGGAAGGTGATGTTAATGGAGCAAGTCACGAAGGGGCGAATGGACTGTTTTCTGGAGGTAATCGCACTTTTGAAATCGACCAACACCTTTCTCTTTTGGCACAGCCACCTCACAACCTCACATCCAAACGCATGGTTTCGGGCCTCATCACCTGGACAGTAGAGTTCCGTCATCTGGCACGAAAGCTCCGCCACCTCGAACTGGAGCGGATGATCGAGGCTCGGTACGGTGATGTTGCGTTGCGGGTGGTCCGAGTTCTCCATGCCAAGGGCAAGCTAGACGAGAAGCGACTCCAAGAAATCAGTCTGCTCCCCTTCAAGGACCTGCGGCAAGTTCTTGCGAGCATGCAAGCAGGCGGATTCGTCGACCTGCAAGAAGTGCCACGGGACGCTCAGCGACAGCCATCACGCACAATCTACCTCTGGTACTACGACCCTGACCGTATCTGCAACAGTGTGCTGCAGGACACGTACAAGGCCATGTCACGGTGTCTGCAGCGCCTGAGGTTCGAGCGTAGCCGGCTAAAGGAGTTCTTGGAGAAGACGGAGCGGAGTGATGTCAAGGGCAACGAGCAGCGGTATCTATCTGAACCCGAATTGGTGCTTCTGGAGCAGTGGAGGGCCAAAGAGGCGTTGTTATTAGGCGAGGTGGCGCGCCTGGATGAGATGGTTGCTGTGATGAGAGACTACTAAGCTGAATTTAAATGATTACAATGATCATCCCACGAGACATGAATGGAAGAAGTCATCTTGCAGAACATGTCAATTGCATGGCGAATAGAATCGTCTTACTCGCAAATCTACTGTAAAGTCGCCTGTCCCGCTGAGGGCATCTGCGGGATAGACAACGGAGTCAGAACACCAACTGCGTACGAACTGGAGTTCACCACTGCGCATACATTCCGGTCAAATTATATGCTTCGAGGAAGGCTTTAATTGTTTGTTTGATTACCCATCTCGATTGAAGTAGGAATACAAAAGAGAACACGAGTCTAGATACATGAAACAAAGCACAGGTGACAACCTAGATCTACAGTAAAATGGTAGAATGGTCTGGGCAGACCGAAAGACAGTGTAAAGAGAGGTAGCTCATGTGGAAGCACCTATGAAGAAGAGCAATCAACGCACGCCCGACAACCATACTCAGACAAAAGCCACACCAGATGACAAAAGATAACGCCCATCCGCGGTCGACGAATGATGAACTCCAGGTAGTGTCACTATACAGGTGGTTGTACTGTTCGAACCATTATTTCGTTTCCTCCTGGCATGTCTAAGCCCATTGCGTTGCTAACAGGTTTGCTTCGTAACCCATACCGCGTGATCATGCTCCCCCAGCAGCTGGTAGGCAGGATGTAAAAGTTTTCTTTGGCGATCAAGTCCCATGCGGGACTATGTAGCGCCGGTAGCTTCCGTGCTAGCAACAGCGGCCTCTGCCAGACTAGAGCCCTGTGTCCCATTGGAGCTCTTCGTGTTCCCGTCTTCTGGTGGGGATACCGTTGCCGCTTTGCAGCCTTCATCCTTCGCGGCGCCATTCTCTCCTAATCGAGCCTCAGCAACGACTAGCTTTCCTTTCGTTTCTTCCAATTCCTGTTTCAAGGCCTTGATATAGTCAATAGCCAGTTCCACGGTACTGGCTTTGCTGATTGTTTGTGCCCCGGCCTTTTCTTTTTCTTTTTCTTTCTCTTTCTCCTTGTCACCTTTGGCATGACCGGACACACTTTCTTTGGCGTGCTTCATCTGAATGAACGCCGATGGAATCAGAGACTCGATTTCCTTGAGGGCGTTGTTGATTCGGTTTCTGCGGCCTTGCTCTGCGAGCTTGTGATTCGTTCTCTTTGAACTGAGATTCTCAGCCAAAGTTTCGGGATATGAGACACCAGGTAGTAGAGTTCCGTCCAGAATATGCTGATAGTTAGATTTGGACGCCAAGTATAGAGCCGAGGTCTCGCTTGAAATGCCTGCAAAGATACGTAATCCCGGTCAGTGTCGATCATAGAAACAGCAGCAGGGCAGATGACATGGCTTACCTTCGCCGCGCACCAAGGGCTGAATGCTAGGACTGATCTTGGGCCGCAAATTAGGACTGGCGTGCGTCGAGCTCAGGCTCTGCCGTTTCCTCCCCATAGGACCAAGCTTAGGGGTTTCCGACTTCTTCGCGATAGGTCCGCTAGGAGAAGGCATGGCCATCGTGCGCGGGCTCGGCGCAATGGAGCCAGGATTCCGATCGATAACTGGTGCTGATTTTGGCTCCAACGACGGCGTGATACTCGCTGATGTAACCGGCGTGGCCGAGCCTGTGTTAATGGCGGTATCAATTCGTGCAACTTGAGGTCGAGAGAGCTGTGTCGCCGGGGTGGCAGCTTCCGGGAGCATAACATCCTCCATGACGTCGTCATAAGATTCTGTTGATACGAGCCTTGCTTGGCCATTGAATTGACCGGTTGGATTCTCGGCGGGCTGCGGCCGTTGAAGCCGCATCAGCATTGCAGGGGTTGCAGGAGCGCTAGTTTGCGACTGATCTGCTTGTGGCACTATGGCGGGAGACTTTCGCGCAGGGGGCAGGGCAGGCGGCGGCATCAATGGTTCAGAAAGGGGTTCCGGCGATACGGAATCTTGGTCGGAGCTCTCATTGCTGCTCTGACGAAGCCCACTCACACCATGAGGCAGTATTTTGGAGACTCCTTGATCTTGGCTGAGGCCGTTGAGAACTTCATCGGAGTTGAGATTCAGCATTGACTTCTTTCGTGTCTGCGGGCGTACAGATGGCGATTGTTGTTTCTTGGCGCGTGAGGAAAAAGATTTAGTGGTCGATGGCCGACGACGATGTTTCCTCATCAAGCCAGGGGAGGAAGGTGCAGAAGAGCCGGGGATCGCGTCGGCAGGAGAGTGCAGAAAACCGACCTCGGACACCGACTGGAACGGATAGCCATTGCCGTTGGAGTTCTGAGCCTCAAGAGCTGGAGAGGTGAGGGGGGTAAAATACTCTCCGGGAATCGTGTACTCGGGCAGTCGGAATTGAGTTTCTAACGGTGTCATGGCGGGAGAGACGAGGGGAGTGTAGAGT